CAGGCATCCTTAAAACCCATTCCCAGCTCTAAGTACCTACCCCTTCCTTGAACAGTATTTTACATTCCCAGGCCATGCAGCATGAGCAAAACACAGTGGGCAGAAATATTTGACTTTCAGAGCAGGGAGGGTCACAGGCAGTGCTGGAGTGGCTCGACATCCAGTGGGACTCCCAGGAGCAATAGTTTTAGGCCACACTAGTGACTGGCTGGCATACATCCACAATTCAAATCTCACTAGACTGGAAATGCCTCACAGACAGAAGTATCAGCAAAACAGAATTTTTAAAAAAGGCATTTCATTTAAAAGACTCCTGCCAGGAACAAGGGCTGTGCTTCTGAATTAGCAGGTTTCTGTCCTGCTACTTAAGTGTACATATGCTGTCTCCAGCACATAGCCCAAGGGGAAACAGGGCAGGTGAATCCAAGCAACAGTGCTAATGTGACTGATACAGCAGCAGGGATGAAGATGCAGTGAGAGTGTGATGAGTACAAAGGAGAAAGAAAATTCCCACGCACCTGTAGCTCAGCTTCTGGGTTTTCTCATGAACATTTTTCAAGATCAGGTGTTTAATCATCTGTTTTCCGAGTTCCCATCCATGCCACCTGAGTGTTTCAGCCACCTCAATGCCCCAGAATATGCCTTTCTTCTTCTTTGTCTTTCTTGCAGACAGCTTAGGAAGTTGCAACGGGGACATTAGCACTTTGGGAGGGAGGGGAAAGCACTCAAACAGCTGTTTCTCTACGCTAAAAGTCTCTTGATTCTGGCAAAAGGACGGGAGGAGCCACCCTGCGGCAAAGCTCCAGGTGTCCAGAGGGGACACCTCCTGGCCACAGCCCAAACAACAAGTACTAAAGGATATCATGAACGAGGGAAGCAAAGGCTAAAGGGTTTTTTGGTTTTTTTTTTCTTCTCTCCCTGCCCTGCCAGTAAATCCACCCATGACAACGGCACCCTTTGCTCCACCACTCACCTTCCTGACACAGCCACAGCACAGCTTCCGAAAAGAGTCAGGATTTTGGGGCTCACCATGCACTTGAGCAAGCATCTGAAAAACAAAGAGGAAAAAGTCCTCACACACACTGCTCCTGCATCCAGACAGTCTTTGCTGCTAAGACCTGGGATCCAACAACCCCTCCTTGGGCCCAGGGCAGCACGCTTCCCTGCAGGGGCTGCAGTGTCCCCGGTAGCATCCCCATTTTCCCAGCTGAGCCCAGCCCTTGCTGCCCCCAGGCTGCCGCAGCCCTGCAGTCCCCTCACACAGACCGTGACTCCCACCTCACTCACAGCTCAGTCCCTGTGGCAGGGCTCTCCTTGGGCCTTTGTAGCATAGCACAGCCCTGACCAGCCCACCATAGCCCCGCAAGGCCCAGTATAGCAAAGCCCTGCCCTGCAACCTTGCTTCCCCCCCCTAAAACCCTATAGGGAACACTGTGGCACAGCCCTGTTCCCTACAGCAAGAGCCTGCCCAGTCCCTTGTAACCCTGCCTGGCCCCCGGAGCAGAGCCTGGGGCCAGTGCCG